AGGAGCGTGCGGCGTCCTCCAACCAGGTGGACTGACGACTTAGTGCGCACGGCGGGAAGTCGTTGGATGCGGAAGGCGGAGGACCGCATTATGTGGAAGGCATTGGGGAAGGCCTATGTCCAGCAGTGGGCAGATAAAGGCTGATGATGATGATGATGATTCGTTCTAAAGATGTTCGCCACTAACTTGACGTATCAGTAGGTACCGAAAAGGATTCATTTTCGTGGAAGACCGCCCATGTCCACTGTATATCCGACAAGATTGGCTACAGGCACACCACAATAACTCGCTTGCGTTCCAAGGTAATCGATGCGCAGCTGCTCCGGTAGCTTGAAATCGCCAGCTTGCCAGACGTTCATTGGTGACCTTGTTATGTAACCTCTTCACCGACAGGCTGTGGCTTTGAAGAATCCTTGTAAACTTTGGTGTGACGAATGTTTTCGACTGCACCTGGCATATGGCAATACTGTCGAAGCAACTAAAATATGGAATCATTTTTTTTTCCTACCTATTCTAGTAACCTCGAGGGGTTATTCTAGATTCGCCGAGCTTCTAGGTGAGCTCAAACCTGACGTCGTTGCTAACACGAACTCTAGCGAGAGCTATGCTTCACAGAATCTACCACCGGATCAGAAACGCGACCCACTGAGAAGATCCGACGAGAAACTCAGTGGGCTGTGTCTGTTGGGTAATTTGCTCGTCGAGCCCTTCGTGGCAAGCGACCTGTTCGACTAGAACGGTGACCGGTGCTTGAGGTACCTAAAAGCACCGTTAGTGGATCGGGAGGATCCGAAATGACGTGTTTTGGGCGACGTCGACTGCTTTCCATTCGGTCCGCAGGATCGGAAATGTAGTTACCGGCGGCCACGATGAGAGCAACGGGTTCTCGTGTCGTGCCGCTTTCTCGAAATGGCATTGATGCCGACTGTAGATACTTAATGATTGATTCTAGGTCCAGGTCATCATGCAAGTCGATGTTCCTGACGAACCACGGGGCTCCGACTGCTATTCTGCAGAAACGGGATTGAATTATTTGAAGGGGTTTTACATCGATATATTACCACGTGGTAATATTATATCGATGGGGTTTTAAGTCAGAGCGGGCTGCGTGAGCGAACACTACACTTGCATAGGTCATGACGGGGATATGGAATCCCCGAGGGACCCTCTGATTGGATCGCCATCTTTTTGGATGGACGGAGTAACAAAGTTGCATAGACGTCTGCTACTCCTTTACCACGATTTATGATGCTGGCTCCACAAAGAAGATGCTTTTACCCCAAACCTTTCATTTCACTTAATATCTACAGTGCTCAGTAATGTAGATGGTGAATTTATTTGAATACCACCAATAGACGGCGTTAGTTGTAAAATTAAAGTGTGCTATCGTTGTGTTCCCAAAAAATATATACTTATGAGAAGTGATATATTGATTTAATTGCAGTTCGTGGAACAACCAATGGTGTTTCACTCACCTGAATCCCCCATATAATGGACAGATGCTCGTCCAAGGAGCTAAAGCTCCAAAAGGAGTCTTTACCACTTAGAAAGGCTGCGTTCATCGAGAGTACATTTTAATTAATCGTTATTGCCGCGTAATATTCGGTTCTGGAATAAAATCCTTACCCAGAAGACTATGACATGTCCTTCTTCAACCGAACTTCGAAAGGCGGCCTCAGCAGTAGATCACTAATCAGCTGTGGCACAGATATTGCTAGTGACTATCAGTGATGGACTCTTACTATCAGATAGACCGTTAGCTTGTCTGCCTAGAGTAACTGTTACTAACCACCCATAAAATGTGGCGCGTGATCTAGCGATAGTCACATATAGCGAAACGTGAGGCAGTTAGCAGTTACACTGAGTCATTTCATAAAAGTGTGATTGAAGTCAGTAGTCACAACTAAGCCAGCGCCGGTGCGCAGATCCTGTAGACCGGTACCAATTTCTATGGCTAACGACTTGTACGGTGAAGGAAAATCATCGTGGTGGTGGATGATATTGATGTCGGTATGATGTCTGTGGCCGCTGGTGGCCTCTTAACACCGAGTGCTGCCGGACGAAATATTTGAAACGTTGGAAATAATAAACTTGAACGTAAACCTAATTTAATGAAGACTATAATTTTATTGAGACACTAACCCCAAGCCTACCAAGAAGTAAAAGCGAGATGAGATTGTGGATCAAAATTAAACCATCCAACGCTGAAAAAATAGGTAATGAAAAAATATTAAAAAACGTAAAAAGGAGCAAAAGGTTTGAATTTTTTTTTAAACCATGTCGTAAACTTAAGATTGAAAGGTATTTCTTGCGATCAAACAAAAAATATTTTACTGTTTGAAACCAATTATTATTTAAATGTACGTTATCTAGAAACACAAATTATTCGACAAAATGTTTTTCCTTAATTAATGTAAATTTGATCAGAAAGTACTTAAAATAGCTACAGAATGTAAGAATTTCAAAATTGAAAGTGACGTACCTACCTTCGTTTCCGACAGAACGGGAATTTCAACAATTTTGCTGTGAATACTGTGATGTAGAATAGACACTAATGGGAATTTTGCAAGATTATGTCAGAGCTGGCGGTGGTCATGATGACGAAGGAACAAAGCTAAACATACACAAATCAAGTAAGTTCAGTTTTACTCTCAATTCTCTTTGCAGTAAATAGTTAACTACAGCTAAAGTGATAGGGACTAATAGGTATTCTAGTGAAATCGAGGGATCAAACTAGATTCATCGAACGAGTGTGGGAGCTCACGGAGCTCTAGCATAGTCACGTTGCTAACATTAGCCCTACACTGTCGCAAGCGACGGGTTCGACGAGAGCGGTGACCGGTGCTTGTGGTGCCTATAAGCACCGTTAGTGGATCGGGACATCGAAGATATTGTTTGAACTGTGTCTGCCACTGTCATTTAGTCCCTGCAGCCAATCAGCGCACTTTAATTTTATTTATATTCAGGAGATTGTGAGTATTATTTAATATAATAATATGCTATATCGATTCTAAATACAAATAAGTGAGAGATTGAACCGTAATTATTATTGTAGAGGGCTATTCGTGCTATTTATAATATGCACCCGAGGGAATCCTTGAGGGACAAGTTTAAGGAAATCAAAATTCTAATTTAGCGTCCCAATACATTTTTGAAAATTTATTGTACGTGCGTAAAAACATTGAAGAATTCCCCAGAGTCTGCGATTTGCATAATGTGAACACTAGGAACAAACATAGGCTTGCGTTGCCAGCGGCTCGAATTAAGAAAATAAGCAATTCTTTTAGGGGGCCGGGGTGTACAACTTTTCAACAAGATCCCACAAAACGTTCAATAAATCAAATCAAAATATTTTGAAATAAAAATAAAAATTTTCGACATAATTGAAAGTACATACTTGTTGAACATCAAAAGAACTACCGCCAATTCACAAGAACGAGCCTCCGTCCTGAGAAGAATTAGCAAGAAACTCAGCGGGCATGTCTTTTTTTTTTTTTAATATTAGTTTGTTTTGTTAAATATGAAATTTTTACAATGAGTATTATAACGTAACAATTACTACAATATTGAAATGCCCGGAGCGAGCAACTCATTCCCACTTTGTGCAATCTTCTAGATAATCATTGACTTTATAGTAAGCTTTATTGCACAGATGTTCTTTAATAGTTTTCTTAAACCTATGTATATGTAGGTTCTGAACATCTTGTGGGATTTTGTTGTACAGGCGCACAGACAAACACCCGAATGAATTTCGTATCTTATGTAACCTACTCATCGGCACAACAAGCTTGTGTTTGTTCCTAGTATTTCTATTATGTATGTCCGACTTTTTAGGAAACTCCTCAATATCTATGTTTACGAACATACATCAAATTTTCAAAAATGTACTGGGATGGCATAGTGAGAACTTTAACTTCTTTAAATTTCTCCCTCAGGGATTCCCTTGAGTGCATGCTATAAATAGCACGTATAGCTCTTTTCTGCAGAATAAATATCATTTCTACATCGGCCGCATTGCCCCATAGCAAAATGCCATAGGACATGACACTGTGGAAGTAACTAAAGTAAACTAAACGAGCCGTGTCCGCATTTGTTAACATTCTAATTTTTTTTACTGCGTATGCTGCAGATCTGAGCTTACTCGCCAATTTATGAATATGAGGTCCCCATTGCAGTTTGGAGTCCACTGTTATACCAAGAAATACGGTTGACTCAACAAGCTCCAATGATTCCTCAGAAACAATTACATCACTATCCACTTGTCTCACATTTAAAGATGATTTAATACATTTTAAAGTAAATTTAATACATTTAGTTTTCTTACTATTCAATAATAGGTTATTGATACGGAACCAATGAACCACACACGAAATCGCATCATTCACTTCGTCATAGACTTGTAATTGTCTAATTATTACCTGTTCATAGATTTAAGAAAACTGTCAAGGAACATTTGTGCAACAAGGCATATTATAAAGTTAAGCATTATTTACTAGATTGCACTACTTGAGAATGAGGCGTTCGCTCCTGGCCTTTTCATTTTCATTTTTCATTTTTTTTTTTTTAATTGTATTTTTGGACTTGTTTTTTCGTTTATTGTAAATATTAGGCAGCGGCTTAGCTCTGCTCCTGGCATTGGTGAAGTCTATGGACGACGGTAACCACTTACCATCAGGTGGGCCGTACGCTCGTCTGCCTACAAAAGCAATAAAAATAAAATAAAATATATATTTTTACTTATTTAAAAAAAAAGAAAATATTTGAGAAAAAAACAAAAAAAAAACCCGCTGAGTTTGTTTCGCCGGTTCTTCTCAGGACTGTGACTCTTTGTGGAACCGGTGGTAGAATTAACATTGTTATTTATATTTTGACATTCAACAAGTGTGTTATGCTGACATCTAAGTTGAAATAAATGATTTTGAATTTGAAATTTTGAAATTTGAAGTTGAATTTGCAGAGTACTACTACTCCTACTACTACTACTACTACTGCGGCATAATAAATAATAATAATAAAATAGCTGTATTTGATTCCACAATAATTAGACATAGCTTCATTAATTTAGTAGTTAATAATTATATTACTACGTAACGATAATAAATTTACTACTTATGCAATTTAATCTCCTCCTCAGGGTAAAAGCCTCCTCCAAACAATTCCATTTTTGCCTATAAACTTGGAAAGAAGCTTTGGTTATCCCTATCCACAAAGAAGGCAATTCCGAGCATCCCAAAAACTACAGGCCCATATCCCTACTCACTTCATTTTCCAAGCTTCTTGAAAAAATTGTAAACAAACAATTAACAGCATTCTTGGAATCTAATCGCCTAATCTCAGAGCAGCAATATGACTTTCGCCAGCACAAATCAACCGAGCAAGCAGTCTGCCTTCTCACTAACTCTGTTTGTAAATATATCGAGGAGGGCAGATGCTGCCTGGGTGTCTTTCTTGATCTAGGAAAAGCTTTCGATACCGTTTCAATTCCCATCCTTCTGCGCAAATTAGAAAACACTGGAATTAGAGGTCTTTGCCTTAATTGGTTCTCAAGTTACCTCACAGGTAGAAGACAATGTATAAAGGTAGGAAACCACATCAGTGAATTTTATACGGTTTCCTTCGGAGTACCCCAGGGTAGCATTCTTGGACCTACACTATTTCTGGTATACTTAAACAGTCTGTCACATATTAAACTAGACAATGCGAACATAATTAATTACGCTGACGACACTGTCATAGTTTTCCACGAGTCCTCCTGGGAAAGGCTCCAAACTACAACACAAAAAGGCCTTCAAGTAGCTGACTGGTTAAATAAAAATTTACTGACTCTAAATCCATCAAAAACAAATTACATCTGCTTTCACAAAAAAGTTAAATCAGCCCCACCTCAAAACTTATCTCTAGCGATACATTCTTGCCAAAAAACAATTTCCTTACACCCATTCTCCCCTGTGATTGTCCGAAAATACTTAAAGTTAGTTCCACTAAATACTTAGGCATCACTATCGATGAAAAACTTACATTTGAAGAGCATATAGCCTCTACTACTTCTAAAGTCCGGAAATTAATTTTCTCCTTTAAGTTGCTCCGAGACGTAGCAAGTATAAACATACTGAAATCCATCTACCTCGCCCTAGGTCAATCCATACTCTCATACTGCATTGGCGGAGCAGCCTCTTCTCATCTAATTACCCTTGAAAGAGCTCAGAGAGCAGTATTGAAAACTATTTTAAAGAAATAATTTCGGTAACCCACAGACACTCTCTTTAAAGAATTTGGGGTCCCGAGCGTGAGAAGAATATTTATCCTTAGGGCAGCCCTTGATAACCACAGAGAAGTTCTTAAAATCACTAACTTCAAAGTCCTTGCAACAAAACGTACTCCTATAATCCCGACGCCCTCAGTTAGGGCTACTTTTGCTCGTCGTTTTAGCTCCTACATGAAACCTTACTTATATAACAGACTCAATAAACAATACAAAATTCTTTGCTCGAGCTTTTTTGTGTACCCAGTTTTTTTTTAAATGCCAAACTGTTTTGTGGTCAATTCCCAGTTCTTCAGCTACATCGTAACTACTGATATGCCGATCCTGCTCCACTTTTTCAAAAATGGCATCCATTTTATCCGTAATAGGGCGACCAGAGCATTTTTTTTTCCTACCTAGCTGAGAGCCTTGAGAGGCTACTTCAGTGTAACCTTAACTAGTAAGGTGAGCTCACGGGGCTCAAACCTAACGAAGTTGCTAACACGAACCCTAGCAAGAGCCGTGCTTCGCAGAATCTATCACCGGATCGGAAACGCGACCCACTGAGAAGATCCGGCAAGAAACTCAGTGGGCTGTGTTTGAGGGTTAATTTACTCGTCGAGCCCTTCGTCGCAAGCGACGGGTTCGACGAGAACGATCACCGGGACCAGAGCGACGTGCATCTTTGACATCAAAATTTCGGGATTGAAAACGCTTAAACCAAATTTGTGCTACTCTGACAGACACTGCACTAGGTCCATAAACATCGCAAATTTTTTTCGTGGTTTGCATTGCATTTTTACCTTTTTTGTAGTAAAATTTTAAAATGTATAGAATTTCTTCATTAGATTCACTTATCTTGACAGTACGAAAAATAAATAAAAATCACACATTATCCTAATTTGAATTTGGAATTATCTTCTTTAAAATTTTAACTTTTAATGATACCAAAGCAGCCAGATACAAATAGTATAGCCAAAGAGATTTTATTACAAGTACATACATACTATAAACATACTATAATGCGAAAAGACTTTTTCCCTAACCTATGATGATTCCACCGGTATATCTAGACATATCTGATCGAGTAGAGGGTGTTGCAGAGTACCGCGGCGGGTGCGGCTGCACCGCGCGACTGCCGACCGACAATCGGCCAGAGCTGGCGCGCGTGGCCGCAGCCGAGGCGCTGGGCGCTGCTTTGCTCGTGCTGCTCTCGTGTTTCCCATCCTGTCTGCCCACGCCTCTCAGCTCCACGCACACTGCGCTCGCCAGCGGTTGTGTTGTCGCTATGCTGGTTCAGGTGAGAACGTCGTCGGGCTCGCACCTTGCGTCTGACGCTGTACTGATGCTAATGCTAAGGTTGATAGTTGTGTGTCTGACTAACAGGGCTTGGATCACATCTCGGGCGCGATGATGAACCCGACGGTGACGCTGGCAGCCGTGGTGTGGGGTCGGGTGTCTGCGGTGCGCGCGATCGTGATGTTCGCGGCACAGCTGGCGGGCGGAGCAGCGGGCGCCGCGGCTCTGGCCGCGCTGGTACCGGCGGGCGGTTCGCTGGTGGGGTGCCTGACGGTGCCGGCGCCCGGTGTTTCGACGGCTCGAGCGGTGGCGGTGGAGGCGGTGTTGGGCGCGTGCCTGGCGCTCGTCAACTGTGCCGCGTGGGATCCGCGCAACCAACACCTGCGTGACTCATGGCCGCTCCGGATCGGCACCTCCGTGGCGGCCATGTCCCTTGTTGCGGTGACTATCGATATGGCCATCATTATTTAAGCCTAGTTAATGTAATCAGGTAAACTACAAAAAATATGATTTGCGTAATTACTGGTGGTAGGACCTCTTGTGAGTCCGCGCGGGTGGGAGCCAACACCCTGCCTATTTTTGCCGTGAAGCAGCAATGCGTTTCGGTTTGAAGGGTGGGGCAGCCGTTGTAACTATACGTGAGACCTTAGAACTTATATCTCAAGGTGGGTGGCGCATTTACGTTGTGGATGTCTATGGGCTCCAGTAACCACTTAACACCAGGTGGGCTGTGAGCTCGTCCACCAATCTAAGCAATAAACTAAACAAAACAAAAAAAAAAAATTGTAGCACTACATAAGTTAGTGTGACATAACATGTGGCCTGTCCGTGTTGCAGGGCACGCTGACGGGCGCCAGCATGAACCCGGCCCGCAGCCTCGCCCCCGCGGTCTTATTGGGGCAGTTCCATCACCACTGGGTCAGTAACTCTTCTTAAAAGTACCCCTTCTTACCTTGTTCTTCGGTTGAAAGTAAAGCATCTACCAATATGTAGAAAATGCATGGGTGATTTTTTATACAAACTACCTGACCCGTTCGATCGTAGCTGGAATAGCTCCTTGGACTACCAGCGAATAGGTAGAGTAAAAACTACCTTACACATATACACACACAGGACCTAAAGAAGATTACCCCATATACTTCCACCCGCGGGGGTATACGGCGATCCTTGGCTGGCACCAGGAACCCACTGGGCACGAGTTTTCCTGGGAATTGTTCGTTATTAGTATAATTGAACTCTAAGGTCATCGATACCATCTATTGCTACGCGCTCGACGTACTGATTCAGAAGAGTTGGAAATCTGAGTCTGAAAATGGTTTCCAAGTTTACGCGCTCACTGTGAAAAAAAGGCTTTTTATCACCGTACCGCAATTCAAAGGAGTATCGCAATCTTTCGAAGGCTTTGAGATTCTTGGCTAAAAAGCTAAAAAGGGGTCATTCACGTAGCGGTATTTCACACCTGGGCAAAGACTTATGCTTTGCACAGTACAAGGTCGGCTTCGCCTTGAGTATGGCCTGGGCGCCCAAATACTTGAGAGTCTTGGCTTTTTTTATGCCCATGAGCGACGATAACCGCTCACCATCAGGTCTGCCGTGTGCTCGTGTAAATAGCTCCAGTGTACTTGTATCGCGCAATGCCACTATACCGGAGTTCACATACCGCAAGGTACGAGCATCGTGGCACAATAACAATAAAAATAAACCCCAAATTTTATAATCAGTGTAATGACGAGGACAGAATGGCTTGTATGCCCACACGAGTGGTACCGCCACCCTCTCTATTTCTGACGCAAAGTAGTAAGGCATTCCGGGCCGAAGGGCGAAACAGCCGATTGAGACTCATGCCTCAAAGTGGATAGCGGGATTCACACTGTGGTATTGCGCTATGCGACCACTTTATAGCCCAGAAGAGAGGACTCTCAGACTTCCACGTAAAAGCTCAAAGAAGGCAACAGTACCAGCTAGCGAGGGCCTCCGTAGCGTCGCCGGGTCCACCCTGTGCCACACACTGGTGGGGTTGTAGCAATCTCTGTCCTGATCAAATAATAGATAGATTCTACGGTCGAAAATGTAACATACGTAGTGCGGTCACTAAAAGTTATAAATCAGCTA